TAGCATTGGGTTAATAATTATAGATTGTAGTTAATGACATATGAATTGATGGGTTTGATAGAATAGTATGAACGATTATAGGTTTGGGGTGTTGATTGTTGATTATTGGTAAAAGGTGTTGTTTACCTTATGGGTGATAAAGAATAATGTTGAGTATAACCATTTGAGACTTTAGAATTTATCTAGGAACAAGAGAATGGGTTATTGGGTGTCGAGACAACATTAATAAGGACTATGAAGCTTTATTTACACCAGGTGTTTGATAAGATGCTTAAGTGACCAAAACATGAGCATCATAGCTAATATGGAATCCCTTTGACTTGTATTGCTATAGATTAAAGTTGAAAGGGTTGACAAACGTTGTATTACGCTCAAGAGCGGCAAGTTAAGGTATGTGAGGCTAACACTTTACGTTTGGGAATTTCTATGATTCTTCCTACATCCCATTCATTATGACCATTACAAGTTTCCTCAAAAAGTAACTATGCCTCAGTTCCCTGAATAGTAGTAGAACTTCTATTCTCTAGATGGCATAGTTTCATAATCATTCGATATTCTATGAGTTTCAGTTATGACAAATCAACTTATTATGAATACTCATCTCAGTCTAATCCTATTCATTATTCCAGTATCATGTAACTCGGTATGGCTCATTTTTTCAGTATCATGTATTGCAGTATGATTCTCAGTTTCTGATTCTAAATTCCTGAATGTTGAACACCTGTATTTGGGCCTGAGGTCGTAGTTTATATGCTTTATGCATACTTGGGCCTGAGGTCGTAGTTTAGGAATTTTTTTACCTCATATAGCAAAGGTTAACACCTTATTCATTTTAAATAAATACCATTTAAAAAAATTGTATTCTATAAGATTTTTAGACAAGGTGGGTTGCTCTGATGGTAAGCACCCTCCACTTCCAACCAAGAGGTTGTGAGTTCGAGTCACCCCAAGAGCAAGGTGGGCAGTTCTTGGAGGGAAGGATGCCGAGGGTCTATTTGGAAACAGCCTCTCTACCCTAGGGTAGGGGTAAGGTCTGCGTACACACTACCCTCCCCAGACCCCACTTGTGGGATTATACTGGGTTGTTGTTGTTGTTGTTGTATATTCTATAGATACCTTTTAATGTTTATAGCAAAATATCTAATTTTGGTTACCTCCTAATCCTAAGCCACTAAATACGCTATTCAGTTACACTATTTTCTTTCTCTCTCTACTTTGATACATGCCATTCTCTTTCCCCATTCCCTAAAAAACACGATGCTCAATCTCAAAATTCCTCTCACCCACATCACCTACGTTCTCTCCGATCCCAATTTCTCCAATTCTATCGGAGCACGCATATATGTTACCACGTCAAATATGTTGACATATGGTTTCAACAATTTGGACAGAGTCCATTCAGATTTTCTATGCTGCCGTAGAGGTTAGGCAAACATCCGTTCATCCAATCTGCGTCAGAAATTAGGCTGCCAGATTTTCTATGCTGCCGGAAATTAGGCTTTTTTCTCTTCCATCCAATCTCAAAGTTTGGTGGATCCTGCTTCACTAGCCCAGTTCTTGATTTTCTATCGCGAATTATCTCTGACTTTCTTCGTTTTTCTATTGGGAATTTTTCTGGGCTGATTGTTGTTTCTGAAGTTGGTGTGTGACTGAGGAAATTGGGGTCTGAAGAGTTGGGTGTGAGATTGTATTTCCTTGTATTTCATTGCATTCATTATCTTTTTTTTCATTGTATTTCAATGTATCTCGTTGTATTCCATGTATTTCATTGTATTCACTGCCTCGTTGTATTTCATGGATGTATACATATATTTTTTTAATTAATATAATTTATGTATTCAGATGTATTATATAATTTCTCTGAAGATTGCTATATTTTTTTGGGTGTTTTTCGGTTGAGAATCTTTTTTATAACTGGAAATACAAAATATGTGTGTTATAATTGAGTTTGTTGAGTTATATTAGGAGTCTATTATGTTAATTGATTCACTTTCCATGTAAAAACAGTGTAATCCCCTGTTTCACGCCGTGAATACAGTCGAATACAATAATTTGTCCAGCTGTAATCTCATGTTTCACGCCATGAATACAGTCGAATACACTCGAATACAACAACTGATTAGCTGGACTTCCCTAATTCACGCCTATTTTTGCTATTGTATTCATGAATACAGTAGCTTAAATACATCTAATACATCTTATAACAACAGAAAACGTATCTACAATTCGTAATATAGCAAATGGTATCTATAGATAGCTAATTACCACTAAAAGATAGTGGTTTATGAAATTTTTTCTAATTTAATTAGTTACGGTCCATAACTCAATGGAGCACTGTTTGTCGGACTATATTAACTAAGATACCGAATTGGAGGTAAGAAATATAAAAATATAGGGAGAATGACAGAGTTACCCACAAATACAAAACTATTTACTCTTGTCTACCTATTTATTTTTCTACCCATAAACTAATTACATTTCCTACCCATAGTAGTTTTTGTGTGGAATTTTTTCTTTATTCTCCATTCTTTTTTATTTCTATGCTTTTTTTTTTTTTTTTTTTGCTTTTCTTCTTTTCTTTTTTCTCGTTTTCTTCTTATTTTTTTCTTTTTTCCTTTTACTAATTTCATTTAATTTCTTTTTTTATGTTCTTTTTCTCTTCATAATCTAATTTCATTTACTGTTTTCACTATTTTTATTATTCTTCTTTTTGTACTATTACTAAAGAAAAACCAAATTGTGTACCAACTAAATGTAGCCAATACAATCAAAATTATTAACTAACATATGATATCAGTATAGTATATAGCTACCAACATGGTATATAATTGTACGCAAAGAGGTCAATTTTTTTTTATTCAATTATCAAACTGAAATAATATCAGTTGTCAATAAAAATTCAAAAAAATTCTAAAGGGTCTAATTGTAAGAGTATACCGCTACATTATATAGTATACTATAACTTTTTATTTTTATTTTTTTACATTTTTAATTTTATTTTTCCCTCACGCTGGGTAAAAGCTTAAAGAAAATTAAAAGGGAAAAGCAAGTGAATTATGGGTAATAAGTGTACTATTATGGTATATTTGTATACTATTACAACATACTTTTATTGTATATTGCATATTATTATAGTATAATATAAGAATATATTGTATACTATAATATGTATACTGTTGCAGTATAACTATATACTCCTATAGTATATTGTATACTATAGCGGTATCTGTTAGATAGTTGTGTTCTTTTTCGATTATTACAATATATCATTGCAATATATTGTATACTATAATAGTATATTGTTGCAGTATGGCTATATACTCCTACATCATATTGTATACCGTAGCGGTATACTATTGGGTAGCTGTGTTCTTCTTCGATTTTCAGTTGCATAAAGGAAAATTAAAAAAAATCAAGATAGTATACTATTCTACTATTACTAAAGAAAAATGAAATAGTGTACTAGTTAAATGTATCTATACAACCAAAAAAAATTCAACTAACATATGATATCAATATAGTATATAGAGAGTATACAATTGTACGCAAAGAGTTTAATTTTTTTTATTCAATTATTAAACTGAAATAATATCAGTTGTCACATAATCTAATTAACTCAACATCCAATTAAGTAATCGGGTATTTTTAGGTGATTAGTACAAGGATCACGCGTGATGTTGAATTTGAATAAAAATCTCATATAGAGAAAGCAAAAATCTATCGAACTCATTGAGATTGAGAGTTTTGAGAAGAAACTATTGAAACCTAATTTTTTTATATAGATTTACTTTATAGCTTTGTTTTTCTGGAATACATGAAAAAGAGAGGATATAAAAAGCGGATTGATCAGAGATTATAGGGAGGAATATAATCCAATTAGAGAAAGTGAACAAAGAGAAAGGGAGAAGAAAAATATAGAGAAATAGTACAAGGCAACTTCAAACTGCATAGTTGCAGTAGAAGAATAAATAAGAAAAATGGGTACACGGGTAAATAGTTTTGGTCGGCTAGGTGTATAGTGTAACTATTTTGAGAGTAGGTAAAAGCGGGTAATTAGTTTGTCTTTAGTAGGTATATTGCATAAATTGCTCAAAAAAATATACTTAGTACTTCCTCCATTCATTTTTACTTGGCATGTACACTAAAAATAGATTTTTATTTTTACTTGTAACTTTACACATATCAAGAGAGGACAAACTTTTTTTCATGTTATACCCACAATATTTATTACTCATTTCAAATTATTTTTTCTCAAATTCAATAAAATATGCATCAATTAATATGGGTACCATGATAATATACACTTCATTTTTTATTTGTTAAGGGACGTGAAAAGTCAAAACGTACCAAGTAAAAGTGAACGGAGGGAGTAATATTATTTTTTGGGGAAATATAATAAATGAAAACGGATAGTTTGGCCACCCTACTCCTGCTGATACACGCCTGTTTTACTCCTAATCCACCAGCTGCCACATCAGTAGGTGTGATTAATAACTGATGCTCCTTATACTAATTTTGTTTAAATAATGTAAGCACCCCATCTTACCAAAAATAAAAGAATTCCACTGAACAAGACAGCAGTTTGATGCTCTCACCACAACTACGTCCAGAAAATGACAAAAATGTTGAGGAGGATCAGAGGGGGAGAGCATCAGGCATGATCCATCTCTTTTTTCCAACTACTTAAGAAAAATAGCTAATGCATAAAGCATTTTGTATTCATGTATTGGAGAGGACCGCAACATAAGGGTTGGGATATAAACAATGCGGGGCAGAGCTAGCATTTTGGTTACGAGTTCAGTCGAACCCAATAGCTTTGGTCCAAACCCGGTATTTATCTTCAGAAGTCTATTGAATATGTACGAACTGTTAATTTAGAACCACTAACTTAAAAGGATTAAAATTTCGAACTCATAAGTTTCAAATTTGGACTCTGCCTCTATAAATAATCTACCCTAATGCAAGTATTAGTGACTGCATGCTTCCACGACTTGAACGCACTCTTTTCTCCAACGACCTCATTTCTGTAATCTGCCTTTATATATATTTCTGTAACAAGCACTATATCTTAGCTTGCAGTACATATATAGAATTTCCATTATATATTCTCTACTTTTTTCCTCCTTCCACACCATATATCTGCTTCTAAAATATTTATTCAGAGGGAAAGAAGGCAGAGAAGGAGAGCATCAAACATGAAGGAGAACGGTGCAAAACCAAGATGGAATTTTAAAGAGAACGACAAGTTGTTGGCTGGGTCGGGTGTGTCCATAAGAGTGGTCCGTAATACATTGATGCAGAGCGTCGACCCGTCTGACGCCCGACCCGTTATCCCTCTCTCCCACGGCGACCCTTCTTCTTTCTCCTGCTTTCGGACCACTCCCGTCGCTGAAGATGCTATCTTTGATTCCGTTCGATCAGCTAAGTTCAACGGCTATTCCTCCTCCGTCGGCATTCTCTCTGCTAGAAGGTACGTACTTTCTACATTCTACTTCCCATTTCGGAGTATATTAGTACTTTTTTTTTGAAAACATGTTTGTTATACCTATATAATAGTTATTCACTATAAAAGTCATTTTCGAAATTAATTTTTATGTTATGTTATAATATATGTCCTTTATAACAACAATTCACTAAGTCATAAAAAATATCAGAACAAACGAATATGTTATAGAAAAGTTTGACTGACATGTTAGACTTTTGTATTTTTGGCATTGCACCATCTGTCACGGGGGCTTTTTTGGTCAGTCCAAAGTCACACCCGCGCGGCAGTCAAGTTCCGCACTTGACTCAGCCTTCCTTAACACTTAGCCAAATTTCAGCAAGTTTGGCCTTAGTAAAATTTTAGGCAGCAAATCCGAAATTAAGTAAGAACACAAAGCCAATACGGGAAAATTCCCAACCCTTGTATTAATTTCGAAAATATACAAAGGACCCTCACTTTGCTATGAACACAATCCGCTCACAGCCCACTTTTGACAAAGAACACAAGTCGTTCTTGGCCAACACTAAGACCTGCCCAAGCCTAGCCTTAGTCCCCTTTGAAACACTTTGAAACCCTCACGTTTCACTCTTGTTTCCCACTTATAATTTCACACGAAATTACCTACATAAATCTGACTAAGTCCCAAAGGTCCTATTTATAGAATATAGGTAGCCCTTAGACTTGACAGCACAATGACACTTGTCGTCTACAACTTTTGCCACTTGTCGGGCTAAGTTTAAATCTGATCCTAACATGTAGTTGACATCCCCAACTACTTAGGACATGATATACACGAAATGGATAATGGGTACAAGCATAATCAGTCATGGGACAAAGAGGTTATGACAAGGTAACCGCCAAAACTGCTTTCCATGTGCATTGCGTGTGCCATCTTCACTTGGCCAGCTGAATTTCGCCCAAGGCTTGCTTTGTGCCAAGCCTTAGCTCAATTTGACATTGCTCCGCGCCAATGTCTTGCCCGCAACCCGCTGCCATGATTTTGCCGCACACGCCCGGCGCCGCTGCCGCCCGCGCATTGCCTTGGCCAGGTTTTCTGCTTTGCCCATGTCAACCTTCATTTCCCTCGAGCCATTGCTTGTATTTTCCTTCACATAGCCTTGCCTTAGCTATTGAAAGTCGTTGCCATCATCCCGCATTCCCGCCTTGCCTTAGCTTAGCCCGGACTTAGCTGCCACAACCCAAAGTGCCATGCCAGTGACTTTGGCACGCATGTCGTGCCATGCCACCCTAACATTGCCCATGCAGCTTTGTCAAGCCATTGCCAAGCGCGCCTTGCCTGTCCGAAGGCCTTGGCCAATACTTGCCCACAACAGCCCTCAATGACAATGTCTTGTCCGTCGTCCGCATGATCGTTTCGCCCGCACATAGGCCAATGACAAGGCCATCACGCCCAAATCCTTGCCACAGCCGTGCCCGCGTCCAATGACAAAGAGTCAGGTCCTAACAAACCACCCGCACCCTTTGAAATCGACGTCCTCGTCGAGCCAACTCAATCAATCAACCCCAAGGGGTTGTTGACATACAACGCCCCGGGTGCTCCATTCACATTTGCCACTATAGCATTTGCCTCTGCCACTTGTTCCTGTTTTTCCGCAGCTAGCATTGCATTCACCCTAGCCTGTACCAGACAGTCCTTCTTTAAGTGCGGTCCACCACAAGTAAAGCAGCCTTTGAACTTGCCGCTTCTTTCCTTGCCATTGTGAATTTCCTGTCTCACATTCTTGGCAAGTCCCTCATCTTCAGCAGCTTGGCCCTTCCCGCTTTTCTTCCATTCCCTTGCCTTGTCTTCCTTCCGTTGGATTTCGAATGCGAAGTTTCAGTAGGGTCATCACCTATGTTCAGGTCCGCCAACGCATCTGCCGCTGCAATGGCAGTAGAGAGGCTTTTAACATTCTGCCTTCTCAACTCCAATTGCTCCCAGCCCTTCAAACCACTCATGAAGTAACGCAGCTTGTCTTCCTCTGTCATATTACTTATATTCAGCATCAAGTATGAACATTCCTTGACATAGTCCCTCACCGTGCCACTTTGCTTCAAGCGACGCAGTCCATCTCGTGCAACCCATGACGAGTTAGTTGGAAGGAATTTGGATTTTAATTCCTTCTTCAGCATCTCCCAAGTCTCAATCTTGGACAGTCCGGTACTTTTCCCATCCGCAACTCGTGTACGCCACCACACCTTTGCATCATCAGTCAAGTACATTGGTGTGATCACCACCTTTTCATCATCCAGCACACGAGCAACTTGGAAATAGTGCTTCATATCCCACAAGAAATTTTCAAATTCTTTGGCACTTCTAGCACCACCATAAGCCTTTGGCTCCGGAATTCTCAACTTAGTGCGTTCATCACTTCTTGGGGCAGAATTTTGCAATGCCCTTCGAAGTTGAGACACTTCCTCGCGTAGTTCTTCTTTCTGTTGGCAAACTAAGGCCATTTCTGCCAGTGTAGTCTCATGTCTCGCCGCATAATCTGCCTCCAAACATGCCATTCTAGCAAGAACAGAAGAATCGCCATCTACTTCAAGAGCCTGCCCAACCAGTGCTTCCAACTTCTCAACTCTTTGACGCAGTTCAGCATTTGTGCCACGAGCCATGTTCTCAAATAGCACCACGAAATCTGCCACCGGTCGTCTTGCCACTGCCACGAACCTAGCTCTGATACCAATTGTCACGGGGGCATTTTTGGTCAGTCCAAAGTCACACTCGCGCGGCAGTCAAGTTCAGCACTTGACTCTGCCTTCCTTAACACTTAGCCAAATTTCAGCAAGTTTGGCCTTAGTAAAATTTTAGGTAGCAAATCCGAAATTAAGTAAGAACACAAAGCCAATACGGGAAAATTCCCAACCCTTGTATTAATTTCGAAAATATACAAAGGACCCTCACTTTGCTATGAACACAATCCGCTCACAGCCCACTTTTGACAAAGAACACAAGTCGTTCTTGACCAACACTAAGACCTGCCCAAGCCTAGCCTTAGTCCCCTTTGAAACACTTTGAAACCCTCACGTTTTACTCTTGTTTCCCACTTATAATTTCACACGAAATTACCCACATAAATCTGACTTAAGTCCCAAAGGTCCTATTTATAGAATATAGGCAACCCTTAGACTTGACAGCACAATGACACTTGTCGTCTACAGCTTTTGCCACTTGTCGGGCTAAGTTTAAATCTGATCCTAACATGTAGTTGACATCCCCAACTACTTAGGACATGATATACACGAAATGGATAATGGATACAAGCATAATCAGTCATGGGACAAAGAGGTTATGACAAGGTAACCGCCAAAACTGCTTTCCATGTGCATTGCATGTGCCATCTTCACTTGGCCAGCTGAATTTCGCCCAAGGCTTGCTTTGTGCCAAGCCTTAGCTCAATTTGACATTGCTCCGCGCCAATGTCTTGCCCGCAACCCGCTGCCATGATTTTTCCGCACGCGCACGGCGCCGCTGCCGCCCGCGCACTGCTTTGGCCTATTTTTCTGCCTTGCCCATGTTAACCTTCATTTCCCTCGTGCCATTGCTTGTATTTTCCTTCACATAGCCTTGCCTTAGCTATTGAAAGCCTTTTCCATCATCCCGCATTCCCGCCTTGCCGTAGCTTAGCCCGCACTTAGCTGCCACAACCCAAAGTGTCGTGCCACTGATTTTGGCACGCATGCCATGCCATGCCGCCCCAACATTGCCCACACAGCTTTGTCAAGCCTTTGCCAAGCGCGCCTTGCCTGTCCCAAGGCCTTGGCCAATATTTGCCCACAACAGCCCTCAATGACAATGTCTTGTCCGTCGTCCGCATGATCGTTTCGCCCGCACATAGGCCAATGACAAGGCCATCACGCCCAAATCCTTGCCACAGCCGTGCCCACGCCCGATGACAAAGAGTCAGGTCCTAACACCATCCATGAGCTACCAGGTTGTAGTACTACTTATTTTAGCTAATGGTCACAAATTCACAACAACTAAGTGTAACTTTTATTACTTTATAGTTTAGTTTATGCAAATTTATTTTAGTTCGATAAGATAATGACCCTCTATTTCAATATAATTTAATTCAAATTTTCAATTTATTTTTCATAAAATGATTTTAAAGGCATACAAATATTATGATATTTTAAGACAACAAATTTTAAAACAATTAGACACATAAAATATTATATTTAAGACCATACGTTTTAAAAATATTTATTTCTTTCTTAAATTTCTTGCACAATCAAATAAGTTCATATAAACTGAAACACATGGAATATGCCTAGTTTTAGTAATTAGTAGTACTAGTTCTTTTAATGAGATTTTGGCCAAAAAGTCCCTTAACTTTATTCGAACTTAAGTTTCATCCTTTAAGTATCTATGTAAACAAAATACTTCCTTAAAGTTTAGCAAAATGACCAAAAGACGTCATATAGTTACTGAAGGTTAAGAAACTAATGGAAGGCTAAAGTTCACGTGCGCAACACGCGATATTTCCATCAGTTTCCCAAGTGTTGAAGAAGTTGATCCCCCAATACTCTGATTTTCCTCGTTGACGCAATCTCAACTCAGTGGTGGAGCCAGGATCTTCACGAAGGGGGTTCAAATTTTTTTTTTAAAGCTAGTGGGAATTGAACCTATAATCTTATGAAGATTTTGAACCCCCTGACCATTAAACTACACTTTTGGGTTGTGTTAAGGGGGTTCAAAATATAATATATAGAGGTAAAAAACAGATTTTTGCCTTATATATACAGTGTAATTTTTCGACAAGGGGGTTCGGTTGAACCCACCCCCTAAATCCGCCCCTGTCTCAACTAGAATGTCATAGTTGAGATTTGAACTTGTGACTTATAGCAACTTTTGAATGCGTATCAGAACTATTTTTCTTGTATCAAATGGGATTAAAAGTATATATATAACAAATAATTTTCATATTTACCCTATTTAGCAAGTAGGGGTGTTCATAAAAATCCGAAAAGCCGAACCAAACCGAAAACCAAATCAAACCGACCAAAAAAACCGATACCTTTTGGTTTGGTTTGGTTTTGGTTTTGAATTTTGAAAAGCCAATCAAATTTGGTTTGGTTATGGTTTTAATCAGAAAAAAACCGAACCAAACCGATTATAGGAGTAGCTATTTCTAATTTATTATTACACCTATATATATGTATATTTTTATACAAAGTTTTAAAAATTTAATGGTAAATGTTAATAGTTTGTACTTTTAGAATAGTTCGTTACTTTTACATTCTAGTTTGATTGGTAGTTTTCTTTTGTTAAGTGTAAGAATCCATTTCGTGTGTTAAAAATAATATATTTTTAATTGAGTCCTTAAATTATTCATCACTATTTGATTCAATTATCATCAATATATTTTGGTAAATAATAGATTTCTCAAAGGGCAATTGATTTGATAGTGTATGTCTTAAAGGGAATATGTGCTTGGTAGTGTATGTCTTATATTTAAGAAAAAACCGACAAATAACCCAAAAAAACGAAAAACCGACAAAACCGAATCGAGAAAAAACCGACTTAATTGATTTGGTTTGGTTCTAATATTTGAAAAACCGACTTACTTGATTTGGTTTCTTTTAAGGGAAAAACCGATCCAAACCGAACCATGAACACCCCTATTAGCAAGGATATAATAGAACTCCCTTCGCTCTTGCTATTTCCGCACTTGGCTAGTCCTTCGACCTTTTTGAAAGAGAGCCATCGACCTCTGTCATATAGTTCTTGCACCTGCACGCACCCTATGTATAAGTTGTAGCCGTTAATCTTACTAATAGAATTTGACCAAGTTTTTTTTTGGTGGAATGAAAAATTTTATTCATCACCAGGACCAAGTTTTTGTGTTGGCCAAAAGTATTGTTTTTCCAAAAGTGTTTTTTCTCGAAGTTAAGTTGTTTGACTAAAATTTAGAAGGAGCAAAAAATACTTTTTTAAAAAAATACTTTTGAGAAACTACAGTTAAAAATATTTTTTAAAAGCTTGACCAAACACTAATTGCTGCTCAAAAGTGATTTTCAAATTGATTAGGAAAACACAAGTTGCTTATCGTCGAAAGTACTTTTTTTAAAGCATATTTGAGAAAACCATTTTTCAAAAGAACCTGATTTTAAAAGCTTGGCAAAATAGGCTGTAAGTTCTATCTACTTGTTGGTATACAAGACTATGAAGCAAGTATAGTGCTAGTCCACTTAAGAATTCCCTCCTAGGCAAGAAAACTAGCAGCATTGTGTGAACAAACTAAAGGAACATGACTAACTGATTCTTGTAAACATCATTAATTTACTTCAAATTCAGAATTATTCATTAAATCTTTTTTCTCTAAAAAGGGCTGTGGCAGAACACTTATCTCAAGATCTTCCATACAAGCTGTCTCCTGATGATGTTTACCTGACAATTGGATGTACTCAAGCAATTGAAATAATTTTGAATGTTCTTGCTCGTCCAAATGCAAATATTCTACTTCCAAGGCCTGGATTTCCTTATTATGAAGCGCGAGCTGCATATAGTCATCTTGAAATGCGTCACTTTAATCTTCTCCCAGAAAAGAAGTGGGAGGTTGACCTTAATTCAGTTGAGTCTTTGGCAGATGAAAATACTGTTGCTATGGTCATTATTAATCCTGGGAATCCTTGCGGCAATGTCTACACATACCAACACCTAAAGGAGGTATATATATATATATATATATGCATATCCTTTTCTTTTGGTAATATAGTGACTTCGGGTCATTTTGATTGTAACAAAGTGGATTTTTATCAGGTAGCGGAGATGGCAAAGAAGCTTGGAATTTTAGTTATTGCTGATGAAGTTTATGATCATCTTACTTTTGGAAGTAAACCATTTGTGCCTATGGGAATCTTTGGATCAATTGCACCTGTTATTACGCTTGGATCCATATCAAAAAGGTGGATTGTCCCTGGTTGGCGACTTGGTTGGCTTGTTACAACTGATCCAAATGGCATACTAAAAGAATATGGGGTACATACTCTTCTTTGAAAGATGGCCATTCTGTACTATTTTCACATATTCTCACTTTGTGTTTTCTTATTTGCAGGTCATAGATTCTCTTATGGGGTATCTCAATCTAATTTCTGACCCCGCAACCCTTATTCAGGTTTATAAGTACTCTGTTCTACTTGCCTTCATATGAAAATCTAATACTACATGTTAACATGTTTCACGTTTTTATATTGGTCTAATGGCGTAGTTATTTAAGAAACTATTAGTAGTATATATAGATGTAATTTTGACATCTTTTATTGAGGTATCTGATTGCTTTTTGACAGGGAGCAATTCCACAGATCCTTCAGAAAACAAAAGATGATTTCTTCTCTAAAATAGTAAATATACTAAGACAAGCTGCAGACATTTGCTATTACAAAATCAAGGATATTCCATGCATCACTTGCCCAAGTAAACCTGAAGGATCTATGTCTGTGATGGTAAGAGAAAAATGATGGAAGCTTAATTAGCTGTTAGTTTGGTATTAGCAGATATTAAAAATCAAATATCTAATGAAGGTCTTTCCCTTTGCAGGTCAAACTTCACTTAAACCTTCTAGAAGACATTGAAGATGACCTGGACTTCTGTGTCAAGCTTGCTAAGGAGGAGTCTTTGATAATCTTACCAGGTAAAAGAAGCAACTCTCTTATAAAGATTAAACTCCGTAAAAAATGTAACCGTGTTATATGAATGTCAAATTTATGCATTTTTGGTTTTGTTGCATGAATTTACTGCATGTACTCGATGCTTTATTGTATAAATATATGACAATAAGGCTTGGTGCAGGTGTTACTGTAGGACTCAAGAATTGGCTCAGGATTACTTTTGCATGTGAACTATCAATTCTAGAAGATGGTCTCAAGAGACTAACTGCTTTCTGTCAAAGGCATGCCAAGAAAAAAAATAAGCTACTCTCAGAAGGAAACTTGATATCTCTGCATTTTTGGGAAGTCTCAGATTCAATTCAAGAGTTGAAAATGTGATCATTAACTACACGTTGGATTGTTGGTATGGTAATATTCATAGTTGTTATGAAAAAACTGCACGTTGGATACTCGATCGTTTGTGGTGTGTGATAGCTCATAAATAAGTTGGCCAAATTCTCAACAATTTCATTGAGTCATCAGGGGAATGTAATATGTTATGTAGAATGGTATATGTTTCTGTAGCTTCAGAATAGCATCATGCTAGTTTTACGTACTGCATGTGTTTGAAAGATAGCTTTAGCCTAACTATGCTAGAATAGTGTTTGTGAAATATTGTGGCTTATGTTGATCTTAATTCGTGATTTGCAAAGTACGGAAGCAGAATTTAGTGGGTCAATTGAGGCGAAAACTATTATGCACCTTTCTACTCTCGAAATATTAACATCCTCGCATTGCCAACTCCAGCGATCCGTGCTTTTTTTAGCAGTTATTGTCTTTGCCAAACATATGGGATCTCATTCATGTTCATGATTACTTTCTTCACTCCTTCAGTTAGATTATATTGTATGGCGTAGTTGCAAACAACGTCCTGCATTAGTAAATACTTATCTGCACCGAACCGTTAGGGATGCCGCAAGTAGAGATCATATAGCTTAATTGATGACTACAAGTCGAATAATCTATGACCCTCTTTAGATCATTCCATAATATTTCCCTGGTTGCCGCATGGAATGACATCATAATAATCAAAGTCATAGGTGGATATTCATAATAAAGGCAAGGACCTTACTATCATGAAACGCCAATTGTTACCATAGTAGCTATATGAATTAAAGCGCATACTAGAAGTAGGGCCTCCATAGTATCAGGTGTGCAGATTTTCTAACAGCACCAAATATAATATAAAATAAAATACAAATAAGAGTTTAGCATGCAATCTCATATTTCAAGAAATCCAAATATTTCTAGGGGCTAGCACGAGCAAAAATAATTGAATAGTTTACTGTTTGAAATAGATAAGACAACCTAAAAGTCAAAAAGCTAATCTGAAGATATTTGCACCTATCTAAATTAATTAACCTTAAGAATCATGGTTAAGTGTTTGAAAGTTTTTATGCAAAACATATGTTACACTCAATGACTTATTATAAATATTCGGTGCGAGTAAGTATTTATCGTCCTTATATACCTCAATACTCTTCTCTAGGGGTGTCAAAAGAACCCCTACCACCAACAGAACATATTGAATTGAACTACCAAATTGATTTTTAGCTACCGTTCGGTCATAGATTCTCAAATTTGTTTTAAAAGATTTCATTTGTGGGGGAAGTTAAGTTTGATGATGAAAATTTGTTTGGACATAAATTTTTCAAAACATATTCAACTTTTTTTTAAAAAAAAAAAACATGAAATGTGACTCATACCCATAAGCTCTAAAAATTACCAAAAAATACCAACAATGCCAAACAAACAAACTTGCTAATCATGTATATATATATATATATATATATATATATATACTTTCATCGATGCCATTCATTGTCATTATCACAAACTATAGTCCTGAACATAGATAAGTTTGGCACAAAATTATCATTTTTATAATGAATAACATAATACACTATCCTAAAACCATAACCTGATATTTAAATAACAACTGCCAATAACACAATTACTAGCTACTATACTTCGTCAAATTGCAATAATATTACAAGTTACATCAGTCCAAACGAAAATGACAGTAATTAGCTGGTAGATTAGTTGGGCCATAATAGATGATGACTTTTTTTATAAAATACAAAAGTTTGGGGTAATTTTTCAAATTGTTAAAAGATCAAACAGTAATATTTTGGGCCAAAAACAGGTCTAGAGCTAGTTCTGGGATTTGAAAATTTCGTTTTCAAAATCTGCCAAAACATGGATAAAATCTAAACAAACATGTTTTGCCAAAAAAATTTTGGAAAAACACTTGGCAAAATCTATGGCCAAACAGAGGCTTAGTTTCTGTTTTCATAAAAATATAGATTTTTGGTTAGGCTTTTTTGATGATAAAAGGACCGACTTATAAATTTTATACAGCATAAGTCTTAACTTTCCCTCTCTAGGATGAAATTTTCTCTCAGCGACAGCTGAAAATGGCGAGAAAATCGAAGACGGGAGGAGGAGGTCAAAAGATCCAAGGCAATCAGACAACAAATTCAGTGCGAATGGGAGTGCCACAATGGGGAGATGCGAAGAAAGTGAGAAACGTTAATGCGATCCAAGGGATTATTACCTTTGGATATTAACCATCTCTCCAATCTAGCAACACGCAGGGAGGGAACAAGAGGATGATGAAATTCAAGTGGCGAAGAGGGCGTCATGGGCAGACCTTGTAGAAGAGGAAGCTATGGCGAACAAAACTAAAGGTTCGACTAAAACCCTAGAATCAATTACTAAGTTATGGAGCAATGTTGTGGTTCAGTTCCAATAGAGGAAGGACTGGATCTAATTGAGCAAAATACTAAATTGAATGTGAAAATTATAATGGTGTACATTAAGGATGAGGTTGATTATTGGACAACAGCGGTTGTGTGCTGTATTCTAGGGTCTAATCCACCACAGGTAGTAATGGATGGATATTTTAGGAGAATTTGAGGTGCACTGGAGATTGACAAAGTAGCGCAATTAAACAAAGGGGTGTTTCTGGTACGATTCCATAGTGTAAAGCAGAAGCAAATCAGTGGAAGAAGGAGTCCAAATGTTCGATAGAAAGCCTGTAATTGTGAAGCCATGGAAGCCAAATATGGAGATCACAAAGGAGAATGGAGAAAATCCCTATTTGGGTAAGATTGACAGGGTTAGACATCAAATATTGGGGACAAGTAGCTCTTACAAAAATAGCTGGTCTAATTGGAAAACCTCTCAAGGCAGATGCTACTACTACTAAAAAGGAAAGGCTAACATATGCAAAAGTCTTAGTAGAAGTGAAATTGAACCAATAGTACCCGACAAGTATGAGATTTGAAAATTAATCTGGTAAAATACTTGAACAGACAGTTCATTATGAGTGGAAACCTGTTCTATGTGAGAAATGCAAGAAATATGGGCATGAAATCTTTGAGTGTAGAAAATTTATATAGGAGGAAAGAGGGAAAGATTGAGAAGCAACAAGAGATGAAAGCACAAATGGAGGTAGATCAATAGAGAGAAGGGAAAGAGGCACAAAAAATCCATCAAAACAACAGGGAGCAGAACTGCAACAAAAGGATAAAAGGGTGGAAAACAAGCAGCTAGAGATGAACAGAGAGAAGAATCCCTCATAATCATGGTTATAAATCTGGGAAATATATGAAAGAAGTAGTGATGGTGCAAGAAGAACCCCTGAAAATAGGCAATGCATTTGCTACTTTAGGACAACAACAAATTGAAGAAGGGGAAAGTACTAGTCAGCCAGGGCAGAAGACGAGAACAATTGATATTGGTAATGTAGGCAAACGTGTGGCTGAACATGACAAGGGTGGGGGACCCACAAACACATGGACAAAATTAGATTTTGGAATACCAGGGGGCTAAATAATCCAGATAAATAGAAGGAAGTCCATCTGTTTATGCATAATTCTCATGCTGGATTATTTGGTCTCTTAGAAACTAAGGTTAAGAGAGCAAAGGCTCAGAGAGCTGCTCTTAACCTTTTCAATGGATGGTCTTACAGTACTAACCTAAGTCAACATAAAGGAGGAAGAATTTGGCTTTTATGGAAGCCTTTGGTATTTGATATGTTTATATACAAAGTCATAGAAAAACTAATACACTATGGAGTACATCACAGAGGTACAAAAAAGAAACTCTCAGTTACAATGGTATATGGATTCAATGATGCTGCATTAAGAAGGAAATTATGGGAGGATATCAAGGAGATTCATGAGCATCTGAGCCTTGGGCAGTAATGGGAGATTTCAGCTGTGTTTTGAATAGAGGGGAAAAGAATTGGGATCCAGGTACAATGTCAGAAATATGAGAGTTTAAGCAATATGTGGATGAATGTACACTACAGGATATGAAGCCTTCAGGGGCCTTTTACATGGAATAATAAGCAGGGAGGTAATGACAGAGTATACAACAGGATTGACAAGGTGTTGGTGAACAATATAATGTCCCTACCAGATTCAAAAGTATACTATAGGAACGACGGGACATTTGATCACTGCCCTGCAATAATAAGATGGGCTAGAGAATAAAAGAAGTAGCATATATTTATGTACTTTAACATGTGGAGCATGTCACTAGTATATAAGGAGAAAGTCAAGCAAGGATGGAAGACAAACAGAACTGGGACCAAAATGTATGAGATGGTGGGAAAACTAAACAGTTTGAAGGGAAAACTAAAGCAGCTTAGTAAAGAAAAGTTCAGTCATATAGAAAAGTAGACAGATCAAGCACAGGAAGAATTACTACAGTGTCAACATAGATTGCAGCAAAGACCTTTTAATCGTGAACTACAAGAGGAAGAAGCAATGATAATCACTAAGTATAAGAGATTGAATGAAGCTAGACATCAATATCGAAGTAAAAAAAATAAGGTGCAGTGACTGAAAAAGGGGTGTACCTATCCCTTACGGGAATCGAACCCGTGTCTTCGACATGAAAAGACGATGTCCTAACCACTGGACGAAAGGGACCAAAAAGCCATTCTTCATATACCTCAGCTTCATCCTTATGGATTGGATTAGTCTTTCTGGTGGGTATCCTTAATTCTCTCATCTCTTGAACCTATTTGGTCCGGTATGGAATGAACTTATAATCATGGAATCGACTCGATCATCAGATTATAAGTTCATAACCCTAGCCCATTCCCATTTTGGGCGGAACAGATCTACTAATTCTTTGATTCCAGTTAGTAAGAGGGATCTTGAACTATTGACTGTACAAGAATATGTGGAGCTCAGCATGTCTGGAAGCACAGGAGAACAGGACCTAAACACTAAATTCTTTTGCGGTATGATGAAGGCCAGAAGGAATATGAACATAGTCTTTTCCATAACTAATGCACAAGGAGTCAATAGAACAGAGATGCATGAAATTGCTAAGTCTTATTGACTTCTACACTACCTTGTTGGGGACTAACAAAAAGGAAAGGGAGCATGCCAATAGTAGCTTGATTTGCCAAGGGCCAATAGTAATAGAAACTCAAAGGAGAATTTTATAAGAAGAGTTTACAAAAAGAGAGGTTAAAATAGCTTTGTGGGCAATCAATGGAGAAAATCACCAGGTCCATATGGCCATGGAAGCAAGTTTTTCAAAGATAGTTGGAAAGTGGTGGGGAGAGATGTGGTGGATGCTATAATGGAATTCTTCAGAACAGGGAAAATGTTAAGAGTGCTGAATCAAACGGTGATAGCCATTATACCTAAGAGCTCTCATGCTACA